CAACGGAGACCTCTTCGGGATATTTCATTCAGCGATCGCACGATTCAAACTATTGACTCGTTTTTATTTTGTTTTCCTCTTTCAGTGATTTTTTTTCGTCCCTTTTTTTTTCATTTTTGTGCCCAGTATTCCGACCCTTAAAGCTGAACGCTCAAGACTCATTCTCGATTGTGGCCTGCAAGTGAGAAGGGGATGAGAGCTTTTGTTGAGCCCTCCTGGGCATTCACAAACCACTCTAGCACACTTTCCATCGACAAGTGGGCCACCCTTTTCCCTTGCTTTGACTTCCAGGGGCGGTGTGTTGCACGAGTAGCCGATTGAGAGACGTCCTCCAGTATTTTCCCCCTTTTCACTTTCTTTGGCGAAAGATGAGAAAAAAAATTTAAGCATTCAGCTCTATTTCGTTAATTATTGGGCGCCATAATAGCGAGAAAATATATTTAAACGAATTTTAATTCTCTTTATGCATGATGAAATTGATAGCATGATAGTTCGCACCTTGCCATTTGATATTCATTGTTGGTGGTTAATAAACCGAAGTATCGATGCGAGTAGACCCGTTGGTATGCCCCCAGTGGAAATATGCTGTCGGCTAATATCCCGGGAGCCACATTAATTTACATCCTTTGTTTCCTAGCCAATACGTGCTCCCGCACGGCTACCGGATACGTGCATAATATTAACCTATGAATTTCCTCGAGTGCCAAAATATGCAAGCCGTATTCTACATAAATTCAAACCAGAAGTTGACTCACATTGCATCCCGAGATATTCAATTTCCATAAATAAACACTGGGAAATTCTTTTGAAGAGCGAAATAATTTTTCCATCGTTGTAGTAATGGGACGCGGACACACGAGGGAGCACTAGACGCCGGAGATCAGTCGAATGGGGTGGAAATACCGACAATATTTGCTCCGTTATATCGCTAGTATCGTCCTTTATACGCAGAATGCATTAAACATTTCCATTCATAGAACTCCATACACTACCCTAGATAAAAATACCCTCCAACACTGGGATAATTCCTCTCACTACCACCACTTCGCGTGAATGATTCAATGAGATTACCTTCTTCGTTCCATCATTGAGCAAGAGCCCTCAAAGCCATTACGACTAATGAATGATGGTTTATCGGACCAAGCAGCTTTAATTCCCTTTGACAAAACTCTACCAGCTGCGTTTACTAATTTCCAACTAACGAGACTACGTTACGGATTTCTCAGTTCACGCCAATCCTCCAGTGGCGAATAGCGTTGGCCCTATTAATGGCCTCTGTAAAACCCTCTTGACTCGGTGGGGGGACTCTTACCTGTGGAGATAACGAGCAGATTTCACCACATCGTTTGACGAGCCAATGCCCTACCTAACGCCACTTATTGTAATTTCCCTGTATTTTGAAACTTTATCGTCATCAAATTGGGGCGTTGATTGCATTAGTCTCTCTCCGTTAATTGCATTCTTTTATCAATGAAGTTTTCCGCTGAATGAAAAATTATCTGGTCAATGTTATAAGTAGCTCGTGCAGAGAAAAAATTTTCATACCGACGTTCTCGTATCTCGGTGGATATATTCCACGAGGGTCCTTGGAATTGCAAATGTTTCATGGAAGATGGGGGGATATGAGAGGCCTGAGAAGAAAAGACGCGGTCGTCGGCGCCACCAGGCATCGGCATCGGGTGGCACGGCCACTTTTCGCGTGGCAGTATGGAAATTCCATACGCACCAGCTGCACCGTCCCTCTCTCCATTTTTTTTATTTCAAATCATTTCAGTTTTCGACAGAAAAATCTCAAAAATTCATCTGCGATTTTCAATTAATTTCTCATAACATGTGAGCGATGAATAGAACACAGAAAAAAACATTGGAAAACCTGGCCAATTCGCTAGAAAATGCTATTGGGTTTCAAATGAACTTCGATTCAATCAAACGAAAAAACTTGGAAAATATCTCAATAGAAATTTCAAACGAATTCGCTTAATTCTTCGATGAAATTTTTTCTCACGTGTCCTTTTTAATGTTGAGGTCTATTGATCGCGGCACGCGGCTTAGGGATAAGGAAATCGTGTATACAGGAGGGACACGAAATGCAGAGGAGCTTTCGACCCAAAACTCAAGTCCAATTTCGTATGAGGGAAGAGGGAAGAGGCTCTTCCTTTCCGCCTTACAGCAAACATATTATCTCCTCGCATATTGACTCGGTGGTAACTATACGGTGCTTCCAGAACCAAAAGCCTGTTCTCTTACACAAAGCTAATACAGACCTTCAGCATAAAACGATTTACGAGCAAGTGTTATTTCTCCCTCCACGCGATTTCACAACTTTCCCTTTCCCTTAGCCTTTTTCCAACTCTTATTCTTAATCATTCTCGTTGTTTTCTATAATAAAAAAAATGGCCCTCGGTGTCGGTGTGAAAGAGCAGTTGTAAAAGAAAATTCAACGTATAAAACGCGGGAAACGAGTTATTTACGTTTTTTTTACAGTTGAAACAGGAAAAAAGGGGTATTATGACCGGCGCAGGAAACCGGGTGGTGATATTGGTAGTTGAAGTGCACGCTATCAAAAAACTCATACGACGCCAGGTGAGGGCACGTTAACGAGTGTTCGTGGGAGAGCCGCAATCATTTCGGCTGATGGGAATTTTACGAATAGAAAAGTGAGTTGATTTTTTTTCTTGTGATACCTGCCTCTAAAGTGCACTTTTTGGAACGGTTTAGTGTGCGTAAAACGATTTTTTCCGCACGGCGTGCGTAAAGTTCACGAGCGTGCGTAAAGCGGATTCTTGTGCGTAAAGCCTCGCTTTGCGCGCTCGAAATTCACTTTACGCACGCTCTTGAACTTTACGCACTCGTGCACAAAAACAACCACATTACCCCCACTACCGTTCCGAACAGTGAACTCGGCAGGTACCACAAAAAATAGGATGTGTTACTCGTGCGTGTGAAAATGTGGAACTTTACGCACTAGTAACACAATATATTATTTTCACGAGCGTGCGTAAAGCGGATTCTTGTGCGTAAAGCCTCGCTTTGCGCGCTCGAAATTCACTTTACGCACGCTCTTGAACTTTACGCACTCGTGCACAAAAACAACCACATTACCCCCACTACCGTTCCGAACAGTGAACTCGGCAGGTACCACAAAAAATAGGATGTGTTACTCGTGCGTGTGAAAATGTGGAACTTTACGCACTAGTAACACAATATATTATTTTCGTTTCCAGGGGAAAACGATAGGAAGTTTGTAGGAATTACGGGAGGGTTAAGATTTTATGGAGATTTCATTGAGTAGTCCTGAGTGGTTGTTGGTTATTCAGGAAATTTGTATTCTTATTTTGCTCGTCATATTCGGATTACGATGACATCTAACGACTTCTGCATGAAGCTCGTTGCAGAACTCTGATCAACTTGTGGGTCTTACTGTTCATAAAAGATCCTTTGCAAACGACTTTCTTGTTTCCTGTAATACAATACAATTGGAATGGGGCACAATTCTCGAGAAAATCTTCGCTCTCATCGAGGAATGCTGCATCGAGGAATGTTACTTGAGAATAACTCAAGTTTTTACGGAAGATCGCAGAGAAGTTCAAAGGGCGTTGTAATCAACTTACTCAGATTGCTTTGGTGCTTTTACTGATTAGTCACAAGTAATCATGGACGTTCAATTGCCACAGTGCAAATTCGAGGCGAACTACTGCACTCTAAGTACTGAAACCCGACTAACAGTGAATCTCAATGGGAAGTCCATTGGGATTTGGGACCCGATTGTGCCAGGATTTTTGGTTCAACGAGATCGCAATTATAGGATACATTCACGAAAGTACTATTGAGATATTTTTCTGGAGAACTATATTTTCTAATTCATAAATTCGAAAAAGCATTACAATTTCAAATTCGTTCGGAAGATAATGCGAATCAGCATTTACCAATAGAACCAAAATAGCTGTTTGTGGATCAAAGTATCTAAATCAATTCTATTATTCATCTCATCTCTGGTGAAACCTGTAAAACATTGAATAATTTCTTGAAATCTCTTGATATCTGTGAATTTCTAAGTTTAACAAGGAACTGTTGCTTCTTAAGCTCCATTAATATTTTACAATGTTGACCCCTTTGGAGCCATTGGCTTTTGCTTCTCTCCAATCATCTGGTTCACCTTATCCCAATAATGATGACAATAAATTTCCGATTAATTTTCAACTGTAAAACAATTGGAATTGAAAAATACAATTGACATAATTGAAATATACTTCTCTCCCCGGAAATGCAATTCATTCGTCGATAAATAAACTCCAAAGCAGCGATATATCTCGGAAGAAGCAATGCAAAAGGGAAAACAAGAAATTCACGGGAAAGGTAAAATAAATTTGTCCCAATTCGAAGCGACTTATTCACATTCTCTGAAGAATCAATGAAATACCCGGATGCTCGTAAATTTAATCCCCCCGGAGCCCACGGTAGAAATAACCAACCGAGTCAGGTGGCCAAAGCCGGAAGTGGATACCTCGTTGAATTTACCCGAGGTTTGTGAGAATAGGAAAGGGGTTATCCTAAACCTAAAATGTTGCACGCCCATACCCCCTCACTGCCATAGATACGTTTCTGCTAAAGTGGTAAAGAGGAACAGAAGGAGGAGTGAGGGGGGGGGGCTACAACGTACTGCAACCGCGAGCGCATTTCGTTCTACATTTCCGCTCGCTTAATTTCTAGGAAGTTAATTGCAGCGAGTTCGTGTCACCAGAACGACAAGAAAGTTATCTTTCACCTCTAGTCTTCCACACGCTTCTTTTAGTTATTTTTGTTCGGATTAATTTCCGAGTTTGAGTGGAGAGTATCAATACGTGTCGATTGGAATGACGGAAAGGAAAAATAATTTTCGTTCTGGTAGTGCTCGTCAGTGTCGTTCGGTCCCTTATCTAATGTTCAATGTGTAATTACCCTGTTGGCAAAGGAAAATACCTTATCGGACACCTTGTGCAGGGTGAAGTCACCGTGCTAGTTAATACTTGTGGAATTTTTTAGTCAGTTCAGTGTGACTGCAGGAGTAGTGGATATCACGTCTTCTAGAGTTTAAAGTTTATCAAAAATTCGGAAATTTCAAGATGATGATTATTTGGATCTTAGCACTCTGCGCATCTGTATCTGCTAAATCACAAGTAAGCCTTCACTGTTGGAAAAATTTGAAATTTCTGGGACAGTGGAGTAGTAATTTTGAGGACAGGGATATTAAATTCAAATTAGAATTTCAGATTAAAAATCTCTGATTCACCTGAATTTTCAATTAAATTACAAATTCAAGAATATATTAACCTGAAATTTTGAATATTTAATGACGAAATTTCTGAAAGTGTCATTGAAACTATAATGTGCAAAAAATCATTGTAGCAAAAAATTTTTAACAGTGTTTAACATTAGAATTGTTTACGCAATTTTTTGAGTCTAAATTTTTGTTTTCCTTTGTCAAGCCTTTCAAGGTGAATGTAAAGTTGGAGAGCCTTCCCTATGACGATGCTAAAGACAATGATTACTTTAAATTCGACCTGTTTGATATAGAAATCCTGAAGGATTTGGATAAGGACATAGGAGTGACGGTTTGTAAATGAATCTCCTCCATTCTCAACTTCCATTGAGTCTTAATTTCGTGATTAATTATCTATTTTCCGAGGCAGCTCGACTATACCATATTTGAAAATGGCGGCGGAAAAGTGGCGAGTGAAAGTCGCGTGAGACTATGTCCGGACTACGATGCTTATGAGCAAGACGTCAAAGCCATTGAATTATTCAAAGGCGCTTTGGACATCCTGCATGAGGAATGTACAATAACAAAGGTGCGAAATGAAAAAACCCATCATTCTCGTCTCACGTTAAATACTTGAATAATTTTTTTGTAGAGAACCGTTAGGCTAAAGCCAACATTCGACACTGATTTGGTAATTGAAAATCTTACGGGATCACCGTGCGACAAAATCTTCACCGCCAATGTGGAAGTATTCCCTCCAGGATCAGCGAAGAAAATCGTGAAGATAAAATATCTCATCACTCCTCAATGCTGAGAGATACGAGAGTCAAAGAGGGTTCAAACAATTTGCAAATTAAAATTCCATGAATATTAAATGAGTCATCAAAATGTATTACACTTCCGAATAGTTTCTAGTTTTTCTTCAACTTGACATTAGAACCTGTTTTGTACGGGCGTATTGATATGGTATCAACAAATGTCGTGAAGTTAATTGTTTGACGTACACTGTTTTGCGTACGATCGTCATGCGATGAAAAGCCTTCAAGTGAACTATCTATTTTTTCCAAGTGGTTTTCTATTGATATACGGGGAGAAAACATAAGAAAAAATTACGTGACAAAATGTAAAAGTGAGGCGAAATTCTCACTTGAAAATTTTGTCCGGAAAAATAAATTTTCCCTCTTGAATTCTCGAAATTTTATGGCTCGAAACGGAATTTTTACGTTGTTGCCATAACTTTTTTTCTCTGTGTAGAAGTTGTATCGCGTATTCTTAAAATGTAATAAATCATTTAATAGGTGTTCAGGCTATGAAAACGCATTCAATGCAACGCTATTTCCCACTTGTTGTTTCTTAATGTCGAAATTCTTCCCCCCCCCCCCCCCCCCCCCC